AAGCCTCTTGGTGTGCAACGATAAAAAAAATTCTCCATGGTTCACAGGTTATGAGGCCTACTCTGACTGAGATCTGATTTTTAAGGTGGCTTTGCAAATTTGTCTTTCATTTAGCCACTGCCAATTTCTTCATTTCAATAGGAATGCATGTTCTGGCATATATGCTTATAAAAACACCATTCTGAAATATTACTTAGTTCTGGAAGAGCTACTCCATAGCACAGTGCTTTCATTTATTTTTATGTTAATCATCATTGCATATCCTCTCACATGCTTGTAAGAACTGTTCTCTACCTTAACTCTTGTCTAACCAATGTTCTCATTTTCTTGTAAGCTGTATTTATACAATCCGCTATAATCTAGTCCACGAATTTTCTCCAAATACTGGAAATAGTGTTCCAACTTACTAAAATAGGGCCAGATTGATTATTTAGATCTCTACTAATTTACACTAAGTTTGTTTAAAAGTCCAGTTTCTAACCCTTTGTCTTAATGACTAAGCTCACTTCAAGGTAACTATAACCACATGAGCAAATTATGATGTGTTAGATGTCATTCACTTCTGTCTGTGTAATTGTAATTACAGCATTTGTATCACTACCGGTTAAACAGCACAGCTAAAACTGGACGAGTTGGTTCTCAAGCTTTGGCTATGAATTAACTGCTTACGTGCAATCACACAACTTCAATCATCCTGGACAGTGGAAAACTGAGCAGCATCTGGAATACAGGCAGGTAGATATAGAATGGTAAAGTAACATTATTACGAAAGGAAAATTACATTGTAAAAAAAAAAAAAACCACACAGATAAAGAAAAACAGTATTGCTGTAAAGCAATCGTTTTTATCGGCTTCAAGAATAGAAAAGTCTGGTGAGCCTCAAGAAACACGTCCCCACTCAGTGTTCAACACAACACAAGCTGTTTGAAGAAAGGCCTATTCTCCGAGACAGGAGAGGCGGTGTAGCCATCAGCCTGAATTTCTGCCTGCGTCCCAACAGGTGACTGTTCAAGGGAAACGTAAAAGCTCATTCTCCTATGAGCCAGCAAATCTCAGGCAAGAGGCTCTGAGAGAGGATTCACCAGAAAGCAGGCTTTCTTTCCAGCTAAATGCTCCTGCACTCACATCCCAAAGTCACTTGTTTCCTGTAGTCCATAATGAAGGGAAATTAATCATTTTTCCAACGGACCTCAGGAAGAGCTATCACAGCCAAGACAGCAAATACACATAAAGTAGTAAAGATCACATGCAAAAATAACTCACTTTGAAGTCTTTTTACACAGAAACATATTCATTCTTTTTTCTTTATTAAACCCCCTAATTACCAACCCTCAAAAAGCCAGCTTGCCAAATTTTTATTTTCTGTTTACATATTAGAGAGGTGAAATAGAAACATTCACTAAATAACAAAAAGAATTTTCATTAAAAACCTGATTTTGTATTACTGATTATAAAAAATTATTTTAATGACTTTACACAACACATACTCAAATAAGTTCATATGCACCAACCTATGTCCAAGTTAACACAAGCTAAACAGAGACAGTAGATCACTTGCACTGCAATACCTGAGCATACCACAGCTTGCTATTCCACAGCAAGGTGAAAAAAAGGTCAAATAATTTGTATTTTACTGCACAAAACAGCACAAATTTGAGTGTATATGCTGTTACCCAACTAAGTCTGCATATTATCTTTTGCTAACTTACTCATGCATCATCTCTGACTTCAGATGCAAGACCAGCTTCTTTACAGAGTCACATTACATTCACCCACGCATCTCTTCTCCCCTTAGTTAAGGCTGATGCAGATTTTTAGTAATTCAGTGATCAATTCAATTTTAAAGCCAGCCACAAACCAGAAAGTGACAGCACAATTCTGATTCAGAACACAGACCCCAGACAGACAATGAAGCCACCTCTTCATCTGAGAAAGGCAGAAAGCACATCTGGCTCACAACATTTGTTTCACACTTTAGAAGATGGTGCAACTGCTTGAAGGTTTCTTTCACGGAGTTTGCACTGATTGGATGTGTTGTGTAACAGATCCATCCTTGCAATAAAACTATAGAAACATACCTAGAAACACAAAAGCTTACCAAAAGTAACACATGCTACACCTAGCACTCTGCTTTTATTTAGTTATTTTTCTAAGAATATTATTTTAGATTATTTTAGCTGGGACAGGAAAAAAGAATCACACATTATTCAAATACCCTTATTCTCAGATGCTTAGTCTGTACTCAGCCTGTATTTCCAGCTCACAGGCATTTGCATTTTCATCCACTTCAGCTAGAGCAATTTTTATTTTAATCTGACTTTTTTGTAATGAGTTTAAAAAGTTATGCCATTGACCAAAATAAATAACATAAAACTACGCTTTTAAAAAAAAAAAATCAAAAAAAAATCAAATACTATTTTAAAAGTTGCTAGATGCTTCAAAATACCTATTAAGAAAATTTGCTTTAAGTTGGTGCTTTACTTGAAAACATTTCCTTTGTTCCTCCAAAGACATTTAAATTGCTGGCTCCAAAATGTTTCTCAGGAAATAATATCCAATTCTGTTTTTTCACAAAGATTTCATAAGGGGGGATAAATGAGAACACTTATTTTTAAATAAATTTTAAAAGAATAAAAAGGAGAAATAATTCTCTCATCTGGAGAAAGACTTTAGCGCACATTATTTTTAAGCCAAAGAGAACAATACTTCTGATACTCATGGAAACTTCTCATAAATCATTTAAAGACAGTAAAAAATTTAAAAGGAAGATAAAGAGAAGCTCAACATCTGCAAATAGCATCCTTTTTTCTGGCTTTCGGCTATAAAAATTATTTTTATTCTTTCTAATGATGGAGATTTTAAAATTTCAATATGCTAGATTAGGTTATACCTCTATAAATTTGACATTATTGAGCTTGTACAGACTTAAAATTAATTGGAACCAGCCTCAAAATCAAGATAACCTGTCCTGCGATGAGAGAGGGGGAAAGCAGCAGCCCCTCCAAACTACTCTTAAATCTTCATCAAACTTCAGTTCTCAAGTTTTCGATCAGAAGCTTCTAATTGTGACAAAAAGTTTTACTAGTCATGTAGCACCGCAAATTCATGTGCGCACAGCTAGCATGGACTTACTGGAATTCTAACCTTTCCAGCGTATAGAAACATTTAATACGTGGTTTACAAGAAGTGACAGTCAGTTCATAGATTCTGTGGCCTCAGGAGAATAATGCATTACCTGACAATAATTGTAACTATTACTATTAATGTCAGCCTTCCAAACTTGCACTCTTATGAAATCAGCCACTGAACAGACCCACAAAACCCACTTACTCAAAAAAATGGATTGTGCCGACACAATGCAAAGACCTACTTAAAAGGTACATCCAGGCTGATTAATGACCTTAATAAACCTACACAGAGAGAAAGAATTGTTCTCTGCACTGTAGAAAAGAGGAAAGAGGATGGGATTTTCAGACCTTCCAAGAAACCCCACAAAACAGGAAAACGACAGCACCAGACAGATACCTCCCAACACCTAAATGTCTTGCTGGCAATGGGAATGCAATCAGGGAAGAGCTACAGCTTATGCTCTGTGGATGCTGCTTCATTTTCAATAATCCTTACTCTGCCTTGCTGCCTGCTACAGAGGATGTTTTGTATCGCTCATCTTAACCGATGTTATGACACAGGAACAGTGGCCTACTGAGCAAGAGAGTGCTGCTCTCCTCCCTGCCCTGATTCCCTTCCCCCCCCCCCCCCCCACCCCGGGAGGATTTTCATAC